GTTCCTGGCTTTTATTCCCTTTCTCCTGCTCTCTGGTCCTGCTGCTTTGGGCGGGCCTGAGTTTCCTCTCCTCACCTAATCCCTTCGGCTGATTGCTCTTCTCTCTGGCTTCCTGGCTTTTCATCCCCTTTCTCCTGCTCTTCCGGCCTGCTGCTTTGGGCGTCCCTGAGTTGTCTCTTTTCACCTGTAACCCTGGGGCTGACTATCATGATGAATATTAAATGCTGAAAAAACATCCTTAGGTATAAGCCAGGGCTCATCCAGTTACTGAGAATAATGAAATAACATCTAGTATTAGTAATGACACCTAATATTTTCTACGTATGAAGCATTATGTTCAAGTACTTTGCACACATTATCATGTTTACATCTCCTAGCAACTTTAAAGCCAAAGCCCACTTAATAGGTGAGGAAATTGAGGAAGTGTAGAGAGGTAACTTTTCTGAAGTCATATAACTAAGAATTGGTGGAGTCAGGCTTCAAACACAGTCAGATGATTCTGACATAAAATTAAGCACAACATTTAAATCATGCTTATCTTTTTCTCACTTCTGTAATAAAAAAAGATGAGCAGAAAGTAATTTAAAAGTAGCATTTTAAGAAAAGGAATTTGTAAGTAAGCAAGAACCTTTCTAGGACATTTTCAAAAACAAGAAAAGCAGAGGTAAAGAAATACAATGCACTGAAGGGAACAAAACTGTAAAACCTCCTAACACCAGCTCTGGAAGGAACTTGGAGATAATGTATTGGTAGTCTTCAAATTCCTTTTAGCTATAATACCCTTCTGTCCTATTAAGTTTTACTTGAGAAGTCCAAATGCAAAACAAATAAAATCAGATCCACACACAGCCCAGTGCAGCCCCACCTCTCAATTCTATGGCTCTGCAAGAGACCAACTCTTCTGGCATAATGCCTAAGGCATTTGACTGCTAACCAGAAGTCTGGTGGTTCAAACCACTAGCTACTCCTCAGAAGGAAGATGGGACGATCTACTTCTGTAGTGACACTGCCTCGGAAACCAGAGGTGGAGTCACAATGAGTCTGATCTGACTTGATGGTAGTGAGTTAGAGTTTTTCTGGAACTCTTTGAAGATCTAAAACCAAAGCCTTCCCACAAACTTTTCTATAGCAGCAGTTACAAAATCATGCTGCTTACACATTAAACATGAAAAAACCATGAATCCTACAGTTTAATCAAACAGCTTTTTCTAGTATTTACTAAACATTAAGAAGATAAAAATTCTTAGGTGGATAGATAGTGTGGTGGTTATGTTTGTGTATCAACTTGGCTGGGCCTGGTTGAGTGGCTGGG